GTTTCTGAAGAACCTAATTAAAGTTGCTCGCTTACTGAAAATCAAACTTATAAGCTATTTAGATTTTTCTGGGTGGAATTAATATCTCAGAATCATGCTGCTGTTTGCAGAGAACCTTGACATCAATCTTGCAATAGCAGTTCCTGGCTTTCACAAGCAATAGTCGAGCTGAGTTGGTAATTGGCAATGCAGGATTGACAGTACTGTCATTTGTAAGCCTAAAGTAACCCCCACAGTATGGCCCCTTATATTCTGTTCATCATACCCTCTCCCTGAGTTACTTGCTTAAGATATTTTCTGCTACAACCTTCACACTTGTCTTCTTTCCCCCTCCACCATCCCACAACTACCTACGATCAAGGTGTCAGCCTGGCTCAGTTGCTAGCACTTTTACTTCTGAGCGAGAAGATTGTGGGTTCAAGCCCCACTTGGGGACTTTGAGTTGATAATCTAAACTGACACTTGAATGCAGTGCTGGGGGAGCACTAGCACAGACTGGTTGGGCTGAGTGACCTGTTTCTGAGCTGACATTCTTTATAAATTGGTAGAATACTGCATGATTTGAGTTAAACACAGTAGCGGCTGTGGGGAAAGAGGTTTTGGCCTATACAGGCCAACCACCTTGGAGATGGAGGTGGCTTCACAGCTGGCATGCCTATTTGCCAAGGCCCATCACATGAGGACCTGGATTAAGTAGCTAGTGATGAGTAAGCCTAGTACACGGTATTGGACTTGGACCTCGAGAACAAGGCAGCTGGAACCTCACAAGCTGTCCTGTAAAGGTCCTCCCACTGTGCTGAAGGCAGATATCCGTCAGATAGCTGATGAGGAAACTATGAGGCTTGGGGCGACCGCTGCTAGAGGGTGTAACCTGGAATCAAGTTCATGAACCTGCATTCGTTCATCTACTTTGTACAGTTTGCAGAGAGGTAAACAGCTGCTGCTTAAGCTCTGCACCTCCAACTTGTGGAACCATCGCTCAATGGGAAAGGATGTATGTCCGAGCTGCAGGCAGGAAGCTGGTGGTATTCCTTTCACAAGGAAGCTCACAGGGAGTTCCTGATACCTGCCATCTACCTAATGAGGGCTCAAACTCACACTTGTGGGCTGCCAAATGACCAACTAGTGACTATGGATGGGGTGGTAAGCTGGACATCATTGGAGCTGAATGTCGGGAAGAATATTTTCAGGAGGACTGGTTTTAGCTGGCTAGACTCCAGCAGTATCCCAACGCACACTCTGGGGTCCCCAAGCCTTGGTTCTTGCCAACCTCAGTCTAATACTTTCCAGAATTAGGTAAGCAGGATGTGTCTCTCCAGGGAGAGAGTGCACATTCCATTCCAACAATTTATCTCTGGAATTTCCATGTGTAGGTGGGATGCATGGAATTTTCAGTTTGATTTGGATTCTCTTAAGCATGGTGATGTGTTTCCACATATGTCAGACACCTAGCTGACCTAAAAAAAATTATGTAACCTATATATTGTATTTCACAGTCTAGTTCTATCCAGATGTGTTTACCAGATGTTTGGCGCATGTGGTGATAGTTAGTTTCCACTCTCTATTGTGTCTTTAATAACAATGATAAAACTTGACAAAAATTTCTACCTAAATTTGTTGGCAAGGCTGAATTCAGTAGGATGTCCAGTGCTTGTTAAACCGCAGTTGGGTCTTAAGGATATGATAAGCACTGTAAACAGTGCAGGTTTGACTGAGATGCATCACTGCTCCAGGGTGGACTGAAATACTGTCGCTCCAAGCAAGATTTAAATTAATTTTGAGATGAGGATGACTCCTCTCAGAGTGTGCTGTGGTAAACGTATGATATTAATTTGCAGAAAGAATTCAGCAAGGAGCTTTTTTCAGCACATTTAAATTGTGTCTTTGGCCCTATACAGAATGATCAAGCAATACCAGCTAGCTCACACGATGTAATGCAAACAGTGCTGCACCATGAAGGTCTGCCATTCACGCTGCTCAGGAATGCTTTGTTATACACGTGCAGGGCTGGAAAGAGTTAGAGCTGTAGATCCCTCCAATAGCATTGTGATACTATTTATAATCATATACAGTACAATACAAATTTACATTTATTGAGCACCTTTCACATTGTGAGGACAACTCAAGGCAGATGAGATCTCGGTTTAATATCTGAAGAACAGCACCTTCAACAACGTAGGGTTCCCCCAGCACTATATTGAAGTGTCAGCCTAGAGTCCAGTCTATGCGAGTTCAAAGTCATGATGTGGGAAAAGACCTACAATAATAATAATCCTTGCATTTGATTTAGCACCTCATCATGTCTTCGAGATGTCTCAAAGCGCTACACAGAATATACTGTAAAGTGAATTGACTGTGTATTTTGTGTGCGAAACATGGCAGCCAATTGCACACAGCAGTGTCCCAGAAACAGTCATGGATTGAGTGACCAAATTATTATTATTAAGCGATTATTACCGCCCAGAAAAGCGATCTGCCAATCGACCTACAACCGGGTTCCTACTTACTGCTAGGTAAACAGTGGTATGTGGAGTAAGGAATCTTGCCCAACATTTCGCCCTGCCGGGAATAGAATCAAGGTCCTCTCGCTTGTGAGACGACTGCTCTAACCACTGAGCTACAGGACTCCACAATCTGTGACTCAGAGGCAAGAACGCTATCAACTGAGCCAGGACAGGCCGGAAAGTTTCAAATGTAGATAGTCTGATAACACTCTTAATACGAATATTGTAGTAAGTAATATTAAGCTCATTGGTCTTCTTAGGCCATAAAACACTGACACTTTGCCTCTCTGGAATATTGCCACAGGTTAATTACAAGGTAAATAAAAGACACTTAGATGTCAAGGACGTTACTGCTTTGATACTGCCTGAGGAAGGTCAGTTGAAAAAGCATTTAATGTGGTTTAAATCCCTCAAGTTCAATACAATACAAATCACCTTTGAGATTCTATCCTGACATTGTAATTAAATGATTGTGAAGAAGCCACCAGGTCTGAACCCTCATCTGCCAGTCTAGGTATTCACGTTCAGCTGATATGTTATTGTTAACCACAAAACAGATATGGCAGGCACATATCCAAGTGACAGACACTCTAATGAAAAGCTTTTGCTCAGACGGATTTACCCAGACCAAACAGCCTATGTTAGATGAAAACAAAATTCTAAGAGTATCTTCAGGTAAAATGTTTCTCTTAAAAAAAAGACTGCAAATATCAATTCAAATCTATAAATCATATGCTGAATCCACTTGCAATGTATTTTTTTGAAACTCACTGGAATGAAATGGATGACTCCTTTCGTGTAATACTGCACGGTATCTGTATTAATACAAGCACCAAAAGCTATCCTGCAAATAACATTAATTCTAGTTCACCAGACACAGGCTCTGCACTGTGATGCTCTGAAGATGCTGTTCAACGGGGGTTGGGCTGCTCGGAGGAGATTTGAACAGTGGAATATTTGTCAAATAGAATTGAGTTATTCTACTTCAAGGCAAGAGCTGCTAGTTTGCACAGACAGTCTCCCAGAGGGTCACTAGACCAGCATCTCCTTCATCCCTTTTTCCAGACCACCTTAGTAATCAGACATTTAAGCAACGATAATCAGCAGAGATTTCAGCACCAAAGTACAAGAGCATCATCGAGCCATATGATGTTTCCATGCCCTTCAGAAGCACCAGATCGTAAGATTCAGCTGATATACAGCAAACAAAATGAGCCTTGATAAATTTAAATCATCTTAATTAGATCTTTCTAACACCTTTCTGAAAATGTTGGAATCACATCTCTCTTTTAAATGGAAAAATAATGGATTCAGACACCCTGTGTTTTGGGGTATGTTGTGTGAGCCCAATTCCAAAAGCTTTGAAAATATAATGTCACAATTTTAATAATGGCATCTCTTTTAATCCCCATGTGAGGCTGAGCTAATGTGTTCAGAATAAGTATATTCTCTTGTTCTTAAGCTACATAAATGCTTCTCATCAATCTACCCAGGAAAGTGTCAGCTGGATTTGAATTTTAATACCTTGCTGGTCTATACGCCTCAATTTTACTGCAGGCAGTAGCTTCATCAACCGAGCCTTTGGGGGTTTTGAAAAAGCTTTCATTAGTACTGTTGGTACATAGTGTAGAGAGAAACCAGAATGAAGGGGAGATGGAGGTGCAGCCATATGCTCTGAGCCTATAAGTGTATACGAGATTTAGATTAAGATATTCCTTTTTGTTTGTTTTTCCAAAATAAAATAAACACTCCCAATATTATCAAACTCCTGAAGAGGTGTGGAGACGAGGGTCCAACATAGAGAGAAATTATACGTGTAATAAAATGTGGGAGAGATTTGAGTCCCAAAGGGCAGCACAAGACAAAATGTGGAAACTATAGTTTGTTATTAGAAGCAAGAAAATGTGCACTATTTAGGTGGGAACCGGAACCACTGCCAATTTATCATTACAAATTATATATGAGTGCGAGCAAAGAATGGTATCCTTGCTAAGGTTGACACACCACAACTGTAACAAATTGGAGGTCAACTCCTCGTCTAAATCATTTTAAACTGGGTTTGCAAAAATGATCTTAGTTCTGATTATAAAGAATCAATTAGACTTTACCTTATCATTTAGCCCTTTTATTATGTTCGATTGCAAGTTTGCTTTTTGCACGGTGTCATTTCTTGCTGTAATGATAATTTCAAAAATGTGGCCAGAAGTTCCGTGAGTCAAGTGTTGAAAGAGTTACTGTCAGTTCCCAACTTTTCTTTGCGCCGGTTTAGTAGCTTAAATATTCCAAAAGAGGGATACATATTCTCTAAAAACTGACACAACAAATCTTGGCCTATGAGGGCTATTTCTCATAGTTACTGAGATTAACACTTAACAACAATGCAAGAGGAAGGAGCTCCTCAATCTTATATTTCGGATTGATTTATATATGTATTTTTTAAATAATGAAAGGTCTCTTTTCTCTCATCTCTAATTTCTTGCCTCTTGTCTTTTCTAGATGGTGAAGATTACCAACCACCGATATGGAAATCCTACTGTAAGTTTCAAAGCTGAGCGCGTGTGTGTGAGACGTATGTGTGGTGAGCTATGGGTTTCTGTACAAGCGCTAACCGATTGACGTGCTTATTCTCTTGACACCACATTTACGTCCACCCTCATTTTGGCCCATTTTGATTGCAGTAAAAGCACCTCAGGCGTCATTTATTTTTGATGAAATGCTTCAGGGCAAATAGATCAGGTGCACTTAATAATAAAAGAGAACGCTCATTCTTTGAAATTGGCCTTTTTGGTGAAATAATCAAACATTCAGTGACAGTTTAACCTTTTTTAAATCAATCAACATAACCAATATCAAGGGTCAGTCAGAAACCTGTGTTGAAATAGAACAAGACTTTATCTCCTAGCACTCCTGTCCCCAAGATGCAGAAGATTTGATTATGGGAATTATTCAAATTGCTGCCCTTTTCCTTCTATCAGCACATTGGATTATTAAATGGAAAAAGAGTGTGGACCGATTTTAAGCTCATTTTAGATAATCCTTCGGAAGTTCCACTCGGGAGGAGGAAGTATAAATCGCCGTGTTTCCAAGAAGAGATTCCTTGGTTTTGGCATTACTGCATTTCAGACCACATAATAAAAATTGAGTGGGAAAAATCACTGTTTTCACTGTTTTCAGGGATCTGCCTAAACAGATAACAACAACACAACAAATTACATTTATATAGCACAATTATAGGTCAGAAGGACATCCCAAAATGCTGACTGGCACTCATAGTTTTCAAAGATTGTCCTGCTCTGCACTCAATAGATTTGGCTGGATTCCCTCATTCTCATCTTTTATTAGGATCATTCACTTTGGCTGTAGAGCCCAGTGAGTGCAGCGTAGGATCTAGATTCACAGTATCCAGCTCATCTGTCTGACTCCTCAGTGAGGAGTATTGAGTGACCCTGAGCAGCACAGAGATGAGCAAGATTAGAAAGTTGGATTTTGGACAATTACAGGTATTTTATTTTGCCTCAGCAATTGGATCAATTTTAAAATTGTTCAATGCTATCCATTAGTCTTCATGATAACTCTCTGGTTAAATGGATGTGTCATATATTTACGATGGAATTCGTGTTTGTGACAGGGATAAACCCTTTTATGGTTATTGGCACTCAACCTATGTGTAAAGGGAGCTAACAAGGACTGGACTCCAATCAGACTTGACTGAAGTTTGTGATAATTGGGCACCAGTCCTAAGTAATAATTAAGCACTAATATAAAGCTGGGGGCTTGGGCGTTTGAGAAGGGAGTTTGGAAACGACAGATGTATGGAGTTAGAGCTTCTGTATTTTTTTTGTTAAAACTATTGTGCAAGTTTTGTTTTTTGGGTGTGACCCATGCCCTCCTACTGCGCTAAATAATAAAGGTGGTACAGTTAAAGGTAATGTGCTGAATTGATTAGAGATGTGACTTGTAAAATAGCCTGAATACAGCCAAGGTGTCTTAAGTGAATAGGATCATGTGCATGTTAAGCAGGACTTACTTTAAGCACTGTGGAATAGATATTTCTAGATTTACTCTATTTTCCTAGCATTTCAAAGAGGTTTGGTAAATTCTTAAACATGACCTTCATTTTGAAGCCCGTGAGTGCTTTTAACAGCTGCAAAATGGCGGCTTCACAATTAAGACAGAATTCAACAATTTGGAGAAATCTGAACAATGAAATGCTGTATAAATCACATAAATGTTGAGCCAAGTGGAATTTCTCCTCACGTGTATGCAATCTCTTTTAAGGACTACTTCAGGAATGAGGTCTGGGTAATTATGGGATAAAAGCATCAATGCAGGTGGCATTTCTGTAGTTAACTTGCTGGGGATTTGTATTTTTAAATACGCATAAAATGATAATATTGCTTATATGTTGCTTTGCTTTTGGACAGTATATCAGTTGCAACAGGAAACACCGCGGCCGAAGAGAGAGATTTGCCCTCAAGAGGTGAGTCCCAAGATAGATTATCACAGCAGCTGTCTGTAAACCATATCTGCCTCCCTGTGACTGACAGAATGAGGATTTTAAAATGAGAAACAACTTTCTCCAGTTAATCTCTGCTCTCCCAAAGCCCACACTCAAGTGTACACATTGCTGAATCCATGCTTGAGTAAAATTAGTACTGAAATTCCACCCCTCCACCAGCAGCAGCTTCAATAGTGGGCTCTGATGCTCGGCCACCTAGTTCAGATTCATTACGAAAGATTCTATTCCATCTTCCTACCACACTCACTCCCTTCCACTGGAAGAGTTTCAAATGCATATAATTCTGATTAGGTTAATATGGTGTCATTGAAGACAGTTCCCTCCAGCTTAAAGACTGCTTCAATCCACAACTGTTTATGGGACACTTCTCTGCACAATTGGCTCCCGGGTTTCGCCCACAAAATACACTCAATCGACTTTACAATATATTCTGTGAAGTGCTTTGAGATGTCTCAAGTATAGATAAGGCACTATATCTAATGCAAAGATTATTATTATTACTTCCTATAATATCAGTTTTCACCAGAAGATCAGTCAGGGTAAAGTCTAAGTCTTACAATTTCAATTTTCTCTGGCCCACAAATGAGTCAGGCTTTCAGTAAGTGTTTCTACAGTTAGTTCTCTATTATTTTGCGGGGAATTAAACATTAACTCCTCCATTCTCTGCCCCTTGCAGAGAATTATGTGCTGCAGCAGTTATAATGATAGTGATTTAGATCAATACTCTCCACCATTCTGCTGCTGCTCCTCACTGTACTGTTTTATTGTAAGGATACAATTGAATAGAGATTCTCATCTTTTATTATGATCATTCACATGTCATGGTCCTATAAGTCTAACTGAGCATTTTAATCTTTGCCTCTTTCATATTCACCTAAGTGCTGTTGATTCTAAATCTGATACGAATATACAGTATTTTCTTCAATGCTTTGAAACATTTTGTGAAAAAATGTGAGTTCATGATATGTCCTTTGACATAATTGCTTACCTTTCAGATATGTTCCCTTTAATTATTATTCCCAACAAAATAGGTTGTTAAAAAAATGCATTGAATATCTATCTGCTGAGCTTTTGGCAACTTAAAAAGGCAGCAGATACAAGAAAGCTTTTTCTGTAGATTGCACGCACATAATGCCACTAAATTGTGAGTGAAATGCTATAGCTTTATGTGGTGCTATAGCAGTTTCAGACTGCTGTAGAAGCTAATTGGCACTTTGCCAAATAATGAGGAGTGATGCGTTTCAAAATTACATTTGCCTTGTTCTCCCTGAAATTACATCTTAAAGCCATTGTTTTTTTTCTGAAAATGATTCTTTGAATTCCCAGCAAAGATTAGTCTTTAGAAAAAAGAACATCATTTTAAAAACCTGCAATATGTAATTATCACAAAGTTGGAGCGTTTCAAAATCCATAATTGAAGCTGTTAAGTTTTCAGTTCATGTGATGTCCTCCTGACGTGAAAGGCGCTATACATATGTTATTTTGTAATAATAGGTACAAAACTGATTTCTTCAGAACCCCTTTTACAGTAATGAGCCCAAAATTCACAAAAAATTGAGACTATGGATATGGAAACAGTGCAGATGATTTGTCTATCTCACAAAATGTAAATTGGCTACAGTGCTAACCAAAAACCTCTTCCATATCCTGTCAATATAATACCATGCTGAGCCAGGCCCTGACTCTCTCTCTCTCTCTGATTTGTTTTCTCTCTCCAGCTCTTTCTTCTGACTCTTACTTTGACTCTCTAACCTTTATGGCTTTCTCTGTGGAAGTATTTTTCTCCACATGTTCCGCGCTTGGTGTCAAACACTATCTATGTAAAGCACTTCAGGATGTATCTATGTGTGAAAAGCATTATGTAAATGCATGTTATTGTCTTTCTGACTTCTTTCTCTTTGACATTGTCTCTCTCTGACTTTCTTTCTCTGGCTTTGACATTCTTTCTTTCTCACTGTACCTGCTACAAATGTCTGAATGACACACTTTATTGCTTGGGAAAATAATCACATAACTGATAGCCTTGGTCACACGCACAGAAGTATTTCTTTATCAGTATCGCAACTCTACTTCACGGGTTTCGGAGACCAGTGGAAATAAGTGGACATGTGGATAGTTGTGGGTATGCAGGATAAGATGGTTTACTACATTTGCTATCAGGAGTCACAGAGGCTTTTTGAATTGTGTGTGGAAGTATCACAAGTTAAAGGGATATATGGTTGTGGGGATGCATGACATTGCATTCATTAGTGTAAAGTCTTGGTCATTAGCACAAATACAATTTACATGACAGTTTACATTATCTAGTACCTTTCACATCAAGAGGATGTCTCAAAGTGTTTCACAGTGCTGGATAGGCACTGAGCTGGGGGTTGGAGCTGAGAGGATGGGGAGAGGAAAGACGAACAAAAGTGCAGTCGCAAAGATGTGTTTTAGGACGTATCTTGAAAGAAGGGAGGGAGGGAGAGAACAACTTTTAATGTTACTTTTACACATTTTTTTTCACCTGAGGAAATTAATAGTGTATAATAGCCAGTTTTTCTGGCCAACTCTGGACCTGTCCCTGTATACAAGAGATTCAGCTTCTTAATGAGAACATTTTATTGGTGACTGCTGTCATCCCGATATTTGTACAATAACATTAAGATGTCATTTGTTCAGGCCCTCTCCTGAGGTCCAGAGGCAATGTAGGAGTTTCAGTTTGGTTCTTGGGTCTTTGAAACTACTGAGAGCCACACAAAATTGGTTTCAGACACCCAATTCCTCCAGCCCCCAATTTCCTGTTAATCCTTTGAAGGAAATTTCAAGTAGAAAGCACCACCTTGTGGACTTCAAGTAACATTGCAGCTGCAGTTTATAAACCCCTTGTATAGCGCCTCATCACACTGAAACATTTTAAAACACTTCACAGGTAATTAGTATTAGCTATAATAGTAACATAATAATAATCCTTGCATTTGATATAGCGCCTTATCATGTTTTAGAGATGTCTCAAAGTGCTTCACAAAATATATTGTAAAGTGAATTGACTATATATTTTGTTGGCAAAGGTACAGTGATCTTCTTAGGTCAGTTTGGCAACCAATTGTGCCAACAAGGTCACAAAAAGCTGTAAAGTGAAGGACTATTTTATCTGGAGGAGAGCTGCCCAGAGCAGTAGGAGAACACCTTCTTTTCCCTCTTTTGAATCATGTCATCGGAGTTGATAGAGGTCTTCCTGGTCATCTTGGAGTTTTTTTAGTGCTGGCCCATTGACATTTTGGATCTCAGATTACGGCCTGTCTAATTTGCGTTACTGTATTTCCCAAAGGGATTCAAAGAGCTAAAATTGCTTATTTTCATTTCATGGCTGTTTGTGGGATGCTGCTGTGTGCAATTGGGCTGCTGTGTTCTCCTACAAAATATAGTCAATCCATTTCACAGTGAATCATGTGAAGCTGTTTGAGACCTCTTTCCGATGTGAAAGGCGATGCATCAACTGCAAAGATTATTATTGCAAAAGATATGCTCTGTTTCAAAGCTTTGTCCATATAAAGTCCAGCTCATTAGAGTGAAAGTCTGACCCTTGTCAATTTTTGCTTGTTAACTCATTGGGCTGGAAGCTGAAAAGAACATTTGCAGAAATGTGCTACTTTTTTTAAAGTAATCTTAAAAAGCAGAATCATAGAAATTATAGCACAGAAGGAGGTCCTTCGAGCCTACATGTTGATGCTCGCTTCTCCACTGGAGTTATAATCTAATCCCAATTCCCTGTACCCATTTATATTGTCTCTCTTAAAATACTTCAAAAGCCCATTTTAAATATTTAATGTAAAAGCATGAGGTGAATGCTAAATGGATTTTTGGTTCACTGCATTTCTCTAAATCAATAATATTCAATGTTGGATATTAATATCTACAAACATAATCCTGTGTTACACAGGAGACCATGACTTTTATCAACACACACTGCAAGCAAGCAACATTTACGGATGACAGATCCTGTGCAGTCTCAAAGTTACCATTGCTATTTGTTCCTCAAAGTGGGTATTTGTGAAATTCAATTTAGATTTTTTAGCGCTTTTCATATCCGGAAGACTTCTCACAACATTTAACAATTCTGGCTCAGGGATGGGAACTGAGGTGGATGAGGAGGGGAAAGATGACTGATGGCGCAGTCAAAGAGATACATCTTGAGACTTGCCTAGAACGAGTTCAATAGAGCGGGTACAGAAAGGCTGAAAGCCTGTCCCCCTATGGTGGGGAGGGTAGCATAGGGGACATAAAGCAGGCTGGTGTGTGCTGCGCAACAAGAGCGACTGGGACAGTGTAGTAAGCATTCCGAGATGCTACTCTGTGTGAAGGGCGTTATATAAGTGCAAGTTGTTTTTGCTGTTGTGGTAGTATATGGATAGTAAAGCTAAAATAATTAATGTCTTATCAAATGTCAATGAGGACTGTGCTTATACACAGAAAACATTTCTCTTGTATTAAGATAAATATCAAAACAAAAATGCAGATGATCTTGATTGTACTTGTTTTGCGGCAAATTGCATAATGTTTTTCTAATTAAATAAGTTCTTCAGTTTAGAAGTTAAACCAAAGTTCGGCCTTCCTGTTCAGGTGGACGTTAAACATCTCATGGCATTATTCGAAAATAGAAGGGAGTTTCCCCTGGTGTTCTAACTAATAATCCCCCAAACAAAATAGGTGACTCACTCCATGGCTGTTTCTGGGACATTGCTGTACATAATTGTGCTGTTACAATTGCCTAGATATACACAGTCGTTCCATCTCACAGTAAATCCTGTGAAGTGTCTTGAGAAGTCTTTTTGACGTGATAAGGCGCTATACCAAATGCAAGGATTATTATTAGTATTCATGATTATTCTGAGTTTTCTTGAAATGCTGAAGTGTGTTATTTATTGGTAATAATGTTCTTTTAATTTCAGGTTGAAAACAGGCCAAAGTACTATGGAAGAGAGTATGTAAACTATTTTCTATTTTTCTGTGTTTGGTATAGCATTTGAAAACAGCTGATAGGAAACTTTTTTTCCTTTGACAAGGACAAAGTACAAATCAGACCAATGCTGGATGAACAGTTTGGTGGCATTTAAAACAAATTATCTTTGACCGAGTGATGTACACTAATTTTCTCAGACTGTGGTTTGTACAGGATTGAAATGTAATTTTGTTGATGCATTGCAGTTTATAGCGTTGTGGTCATGACGATAAACTGTGCTTTCTTTACCAGCAGTATAATACAGAATGCAAAACTGTAGAGAACAAGCCAATATGTTCTCAGACCCACTGAAATACTGTGGCTATTTTCTATATTTAATGTAAAGACTTGGTTGTTCTGTGTTAAGGATATCCATATTAATCCAATAACTGCTCACCAGGGTGCTGATAGTGCATGGCCTTTTCCCTATCTAGGACTGTGTTAGAGGTGCTACAATTAGCCTCAGCTCCCTGAGGCTGCTCCCAGCTATAATTCGCATAAAGTAGAACCTTGATTATCTACCAAAGTGAATAACCTGTTGGAGTCTTCCAGCGTGACACATAATCGTGGATCTACTATAGTTATTTTCACACAATAAGTATAATGCAGTCATTTCTAGATAATTCAGGCAATTGGCATAATTGGTTCAGTGTTGATATATTGTGAATTAAAACTATGAATAAATTGTATAGTAGCAGGGGAAACTTTGCATAAGCATATTTTAAATATCCACGGTGCATGTTATATTGGTGTTGAAAAGTGAAAGATGATCTTCTTGATCCCAATAGTAAAAAAAAGTGCTTTTCCAATTTCAGGTTTCACGGGATGATCTCTCGCGAGCAGGCCGATGAGCTGCTCGGCGGAGTGGAGGGAGCTTATCTGATCAGGGAGAGCCAGCGCCAGCCTGGTAGCAACACATTAGCCCTCAGGTCAGTGGCTAATCGTTTAGTCAACTTTCCTATCGCAACAAATAAGCGGTCAATTCACTTTACAGTCCATTCTGTGAAGCGCTTTGAGACGTCGAGAAGACGTGAAAAGCGCTGTATCAAATGCAAGGATTATTATTGTTATTATTATCTACTGAAAAGTAGAGTGGAGTCCTGTAGCTCAGTAGTTAGGGCACTCGCTTTGCAAGCGAGAGACCTGAGTTCAATTCCAGACAGGGCAAAACCTTGGGCAAGTTTCCTTACTCCACACGCCTAATAATAATCCCTCCAAAAACAATAATAATAAATTGGTCATTTTCAATCCACGACTGTTTGTGGGACATTGCTGTGCGCAATTGGCTGCCGCGTTCGCCCACAAATATACAGTCAATTCACTTTACAGTGTGTTCTGTGAAGCGCTTTGGGACGTCCTCCCGACGTAAAAAGCGCTATATCAAATGCAAGGATTATTATTATTATTAAAACCTAAGGGTCAGGCGGTCTCTGGTTATTTGTCTTAAAGGGGCTGGTTTGATTGATGTTAGCCTAGATATTAATGAAACATTGTTGAAATTAAATTTGGTGTTTGCCATCTCAACAAAAACCTTGCATTTATATAGCACTCTTAAGAATATAAGAACAAAGTAATTTGCTAGGTGAAAGAAGACCAAGGTCCATCCAGTTCGCCTTCCACAATCCTGGCAGTTGCTTGACATATTGTGTCCCAAACTACATACTGTATCCCGAGATATGATTTTCTAGCAGAAATCTATCTGCCTCCTCTCCTTCCACTGCTTTAGACACTCTTGCCTCACAAAATGCGGAAGAGTTTATTTCACAAGGGGAATTTGCGGAAACATTTGTCATGTGGTTTGGACTCTGCACTAGTTCTCTGCTTTATGTACCTTGGTGCTATGTGTGTGGTTTAATAAATTTAACATGTAAGGAAGAGCCTCTTCATGGAAGCTAAATCGTGAACTTGTTCATGAGGGGGAGCATGGGCAATTTTGTTGCATACCCAGGAGAACCATGAAAGAGAACTTGGTTGAACTCGCGTCTTATACTTCACAAGCTTAAACCAGCATTGAGACCTGCATTTGGTTGATCAAAAATAAAGGCAATTGCTTTGCATACTTTCTGTGGCGCAAAAGATCACTGTCATTGCCCAGAGCTTCTGACTACATTCGGGAAACCAGGGTGTGTGCTCCCCTCTTACTATTGCACACAAGGTATATAGGAGCAGACATTTCCCTGTTGGGATGTGTGATATTTTGGCAGAAAACTATCCGTGTATGGTAGGTGGTTTATTTGTCGCTCCAACACCTCATTTTAGTGGATTGAAAAGAATTGCAGTGAAAAGAAATGTTCCTGTTGGTGCCTGTAAGCATCATAGAGACTAACTTCCATCACTTCTTGTATTTATGCTAAATACTTTGGTACAGCTTAATAGGGTCAATCCCTAGATTGCATTTTGGTATTAAAGATTACTGCTGGCTTTACCTTCTCTTCACCAATCATTGTCTTTCTAGTCCCTTGAATATCTGCTGCATGAAGGCTAACTGAAATTTGCAGCTCCCCTTTATCACGGCCAAAAAGAACTGACCGGGATTTGTCACAAAGAAACGTCTCCTTTGTAGAGCAAATATCCACAGCTCAACTGGACTGAGAACATGTGAACTTGCAGATTCAAGCAAGTAGTGGCCACTTGAGAGATAGCGTAATGCCTCTATGCTATGTGGAAAATTTGCTGGTTGCTAGAGCTTCAGAAGCTTTATTGTTATCAGTAATGTCTATTTTTCAGCTTTTTCTTTTCCCTTCTGGTTTTCTGTTCCGTATGGAATTCTCTCTTCCTCACATCTCTCCGGCTACACTTCTGAGTATGTTTTCAATCAATTTCTTTTTGAATCATTCCTACTGAGCTCCTGCCTGGAGTGTCATGTGTGCCATTATATTCCATGACACCAACTACGTGCAGTTATATAGGTCCTTTCATGTTGTTAAACATCTCAAGGTGTTTCACAGAGGTAGGTTGGGAGATAAAAGGAAGGAGATAATAAAAGAAATTCCTTGATTTGATATAGAGTTTTCATGTCTTCTAGACATCTCAAAGTGCTTGACAGAATATACTGTAAGGTGAATTGACTGTACGTTTTGTGGGTGAAACGCTGCAGCCAAGTGCGCATAGCAATGTCCCACAAACAGTTGTGGATTGAGTGACCAAATTATTATTGGTTTTTATGCTTGAGGGATTATTTTCATGCGTGTGGAGTAAGGAAACTTGCCCAAGATTTCACCCTCCCGGGAATTGAATCCAGGTCTCTCGCTTGTGAGGCAAGTGCTCTAACCACTGAGCTACAGGACTTTACAGGAGATGACCAAAGGCATAGACAAAGAGATTGATTTTAAGAGGCGTTTTGAAAGCAGAAAGGGAGGGTGTGAGGCAGAGGGATTTGGGGAGTGTTTCAGAGAGCAAGGAAGGTGACTGAAGGCTCAAATGATGGGGTCGGGGGGGGATATGGGGCAGCCTAAACTTGGCAAAACAGAGGGAGTGGGCGGGGGAAGGCATAATAAAAAATTTTTTTAGTACCTTCCAGTTCTTACTTGAAACAACGTTTTTTTTTTAATCTGTACTTATTAACGTAAGGGTTCAGAACTGGGCTCAGAGCATTTTTGAACTCTTAGCATCCAGTGTCGTCATCCGGGAATGCCTCTTTCAGTCAAAAAAAACCCCCAGGTACAAAGAAGTAAAGCACCATCTGTCTTTCAAACATAGATTAAATAGTTTTCTTTTAGGAAATAACAATATGGGATATAGTACATAGGCAGTTTTGGACATATGTGCACCTGACCGCCAGGAAGCTTGAAGGTGAACTAGATGGACTATGGTCTTTTTTTTAATCTAGCATTTCTTATGTTCTTATGTTATCTGTGCTGCAACTGTGCCTTTACCCCATCCCAGGAGAGTGTCCCCTACTGCATTTGGTTCTTATTGACATTGCTAATTTGTATTACGTTGTGACTAGTTTTATGTTATGTGCAGCATTAAATACTGAATATGAACTGGCCTAAATCCATTGCCAATATGGACCTTAAGCCAGCAGAGGAAAACTTGCATCCCATTAGTCTTTGCAGTATAAAACACAGATTCCAGTGGCAAACAGACTGGTTAAGCCACCACTCACTCCCAGACTTTTCTTCAAGAATGAAAGAAACTCCCTCTCTAAAAATGATGTCCCTTATATTTTTCATTCTTGCTCTTTTCTTCCACTCAAATGGCTCATGTCCTCCTGTCTCTGCTCTTAGGGTCCACCACTCATTCCTGGTATCATCCTTGTAAATCTCCTCTGTGTCCTCTCTATGGTTCTCACACCCTTCCAAAAGTGGGTTGACCAAAACTGGACATCGTCCTCTAACTGTCTAAACAACAATTCTACATCATCACTTTCCTTTTGTATTGTATGCTCTCTCTCACATGCACTAGAGATAGATTTAAAGCATTGCTAGGCCATGACACTGACAAATCTTTAGGTCCTTCCGGAAATTAAATCCTTTGTATGAATACTATATGCCTGCGGTAAACTATTGGTGCTTATTCTCAATGGTCTGATTTGATAAACAATCTTCTGTCAACAGAGGAAGTGAAAGCTGTCGAGTGAGGTTTTTTCACAATGTAACTTCTTTGACACATTTTCAAGGTGCTGTGTTTTATTAGTAATCCTACATTTCCTAAACTAGCTCAAGTGTTCAGTTTATAAATTATAGAAATTAGAATATAGGAGTTCTACATCCACAAAAATGCCACCAATTCCAACACAAGACTCACCTCGGCTCTCAGTTCCTTGCACACATCGCCAACAATGCCAGGTGGCCACCATCCTGGCAAATGTAGCAACTGACTGCTGGAACTTCGGACTTAAATCCTGTTACAGATGGTTTGTCCCTGGATGTGCAGATGTGGCTAACTCTCTCCACCATTCCAAAGTAAGGAGACTTTGGACTGAAGAGACACACAAAGTAGTTTAAAATACATTTTTAATGCCTTTAATTATAGAGCAATATGTGCAATATATTTGGGTGTACCAGAACTTTCTCTGGGGGTGACAAATTGGTGATCATAACACACTGTTTCATTTCTGTTGAATAGTTTATGTGTATGACCAGTGCACAGTTGGATTGGTCTGGAATACACATCAATTTATTTTCTTCTCTTTTGCAGGTTTGGAAATCAAACTTTGAACTACAGATTGTTTTACGATGGAAAGCACTTTGTTGGAGAGAAACGCTTTGAATCAATCCATGATCTAGTGACTGATGGCTTGATAACCCTGTACATAGAAACTAAAGCATCTGAATATATATCAAAGATGACGACAAACCCTATCTATGAACACATAGGATATGCCACGTTGCTGAGAGAACAGTCCTCAAAGAGGTTGCTCAAAGCCAAGAGAGAGAGCAGGAAGAAATTCCTTCTGAATGATGAAAACATCTCAGTAGAAAAGGTGAGGATATTCATTCACACTTTTTATTAGTGAACATAGAATTACTGTACACATTATGCTTCATACTGTGTAGGTTTTAGACACGCTGTCATTCGTCATTTCAGAAGTAGCAATTCTTCCCTAACGATGAATAATGTGAATTAGCAATACTTGATGAGAAACATTACCTACTTGGAAACATAATCTCATGCTGGCGGCATAATAAATGTATGCGCCAAATAAATGATGCTGAAGGAATTTTAACTAGCTCTGAGGTGGAGAAATTCACAAGTGAATAAACCTATTGTGTTTGTGGTTGTAGGACCTTGATTGCTTTTATCAGTTATGGAAATGTGGACTGCTGAAGAAGCACAGGCTACTTAAGGGTGTTTTTCTGATGGTCTAAAATTTTATTTCTTGATGAATAAAAAAAAATTTCATGTTATGAGCAATAAAGTATTCTACCGCGAAATGTATATTAAAATGCACCTCTTTTCTCCCCTTCCAATTCTTTCCCTTTGCCCTTCCAGTTCTGAAAACATAACTCATGCTAGTGTTGGATTTTGATGGGTGGAAGGTCTTCAATATTTTACCTATTACCATTCTGGGTATTTAACATAGGCTGCACCAATAGAATAGTACGGAAATATTTGCCAAAAATTGTGGGGAATTTGAAATTTTCGTAAAAATGTGGGGAGTTGATTAGCACCAATCAATTTTTCACTTTGATGAAAACTAATCGTAAGGATGGTTATTAGATTATTCCAAAAAAAATTCTTCTTTCACAAAACCCGAGTGGCCCCATTTGGTGGGGGTGGGACACCAGCACAGGACCAGCAAGACTACGGGAGCTCACCAACTCCTGCCTCTCAAAGTCTGGCACCGTACACAGAGAACCTAGAGAGAGGAGGCATACACTCACAGACACAGAGAGAGACACAATATCAGTGAGACACACACTCATAGACACAGATGTATACACACACACACAGACAGAGAGAGGTACACATTCACACAGACACACTCAGAAACGCACACATATAGAAGAGACACACACAGACACCCTCACAAACATACAGAGGAGAGCGACACACTCACAAGCACACACAGACATAGAGAGAAAGAGACACACGGACACTCACAACAGCGGAGCCTCTGGATGGAGCGAAGCCCATTTCCTGCTTGTGCTTGTGTCGGATAAACAGCACAGAGGCCCGGGGCCAGGAACTTTGTTTTTAGCGGGTTTGTAGTGGAGGGTGCTATTTATGGCGGGTTCTGCGGGAAAACTGCAGCTGCACTTTTCTGTTGGCCCAGGGCCTAAGTGAGCTATTTAACTCTGGGGCGATCACAGCTATCTTCATCCATGTCCTAGCCTGGCATCCACACATACAGACTTCAGGCAGGGGTTACTCAATGATAGATAGAAATGCAAGTTATTAAGTGTTAGCTGGACTTAATTGTTAGTTCCATAGTTTCTGGTTCAGAAGGTCAGGGTTCAAGCTCCAGGGACTTTCAACCCATAGTCCAGGTTAACACTACAGTTGTCAATGAGATGTTAAGCTGAGGTCCGGCCTGCCTGTTCAGGTGGATGTTAACATTTTATAGCAATTGCCTGTAAAGAGCCTTGAGGAATTTTGACATTATAGGCACTCATCAAATTTAAGGGTTATTAAACCTCAATGCTAACTTCACACCCCAAACCCCTCATTGCAGGAACAAGACCGGGAAAGATTCCCCCTCATGAAGGTCCACCTTCTTAAATGTATCTATTCTATCCAAATGACAACATAGAGAGATGTGAGTGGTTGTGACAGAGAGAATTGAAGGCCAGAGGTTGAGGAAGAATTAATAAACAGATGGCATATTGCATTCTATCCAGGAGTTACCGGGAAGGGCTAGATGAGATTCCTCAGCTGGAGGAAAAATATTGACATTTTGGACAAACCTGGGCTATAAAAGAAGTTGTTGACAGGAAAGGTAATTGTGACAGAGGAAACTAATCTTCTTTGGCAACAGAGGAGATGCGAAAGTTTCATTTGCCAGATTATCATTTGCTGCTTATATAGGTCAGGTTTCTATGTGGTGATTTAGCTACTGCACAAAAAAATATGAAGAAGGTGTGGGCACTGATGATGTCAGCGCATTGGGACATCCTCCCCACGTGAAAGGTGCTATACAATGTAATTTGTTTTTGTTGTTGTGTTCTAAACAAAGTAGAGGAATTTTTTTCAGCAAAAGAAGTACATAGGTCTGGATGATAAGTGGAAGAGGTGAATGATATGGTGAGGAACAAATGGGAATGAGAACTGAGTCCTGGGCGTGCTTGTGTTCATGACAAACAATCAAAAGATGAACTTTCAACTGCAGTAGAGATGGAGTGATTAGTGAGGAAACTAGATAGCTATGTATAAAGCTTTAGAAGTGCATATTGAGAGGTGCTGTGAAAGCCTTTGCAGATATCTGAATTGATACAAGTGAATCACCAAAGTTTTCAAAAGCAGGGTTCCAGAAATGCATAACATAGGCAAGATCAGCAGTGGACAGCGTGACATTACTGGAAATCAAACTGGCAATCATGACTTAGGCCACAATTTTCAAGGTTAAAGACATTATCAGGTAATGTTAGGCATCATAACTTTAGACACGTCAGAAGTAGACCAGTGGGGTGATTCCCCAATGCACACTCTGGGTGAATATAAATCTTGGATCTTGTGTACTGGCACATAAACATTCCAGGATTTGGTGACCAGGGTATGTCACTCCATTCCATACGAAGGGAATTTTGCATTCATATGTGGAACTCTCAGTTGTTTGGATACTCAAGCATAACCATAGATTTCTGCATGTGTCAGACCCCCCCAAAAAGCTATGATCAGTATCACAAAATGTTTTTGCATGACATGGGTACTATCAGGCTGCTAGTGGAGTATATTACCATGAGTAAAAGTACAAATACTGATGATTCAGTCTTGTGCACCTACTTCTCAAGTTAGAGATCAGACGCTGAGGGCGGGCCTGTTGTTTGCTGACTGAAGTATCCAAGATAGATGCAGGTATGCCTGACGTAGTCTGCAAATAGTAGGAACAAGGAGACAAACATATAATAGATAAAATAATAATCCTTGCACTTGAGCATTTGAAACACATACAATCTAGGCTGATACTGCAACACAGTACTGATGTGTGCTTTATTGTTAAGAGTTTTTCAAATGTGATGTTAAACCAAGGCCTTGTCTACCTAGTTAGGTAGACATCAAAGGTTGAGGCAGTTTGAGATTGTACCAGGTGTCAACTTGCTCAATTGGTAGAACTCTTGCCTCTGGATCCGAAAGTTATGGGTTCAAGCTCCACTTTGAGTTCAGTGTCCAGGCTAATATGTCAATGCAGTGCTGGGGGACCTATGAGTTCTGGTTCCGGTCCCCTGGTTGACTCTCGTCCCCTCCATTCCACCATTGGTGGCCATGCCTTCAGCCATTACACTATAGAACTCTCTCCCTCAATCCCTCCATCTTGCGCGCTCCTCACTTTCAAATCCCACCCATAGACCTTCCTTTTTGACAGTGCTAATGGTCACCACTCCCTTCCCTCCCTTCCGTCTCAGTGTCAGACTCTGCTACTGTCAAGCGCTCCGGGACACTGCCCCACGTGAAGGGTGCTATAGAAATGCGAGGTGCTGTTGAATTATTGTAGGTAGTGTCCTTGGGACAGTATGTTTAAACTGTGGTCTCATCTGTCTGTTCATGTGTATGTTAAAGATTTCATACCACTATTTAAAAAGAGAAGGGAGTGTCTCCTTGTGGCTCGCCATTCATAACCCAGATAAAAGAAATTGGTCATTCATTTTATGGCAGTTTGTGCGACATGGTTGTCTGCAAATTGGATGCCATGTTTGCCTACAAATACACAGTCACAGTTTTTACAGAAAACTCTATGAAGCACTTTAAGATGTTTCAACATGGTAAGTAAGGTGTTATATCTAATACAAGGATTATTATTATTAATTTTTAAATTCCATTTTAATTTTGAAGCCTATTTTCTGTAGGTTGTGCTTTCAAGAACTAAGAAAACCACCGTAATTTTTTTTCTTAGTTATTGAAACACAAAACAGACTTCAAAATTAAAATGAGACTGAATTTAAGAATTGCCGATATCTCTGAAATGCTTAGGGAAAAATCGTAAGTCTAGACCCAGGTAGACTGTTTGCCCTTCAGTGTTTACTTGAATGTTTCTATATTGGTATAGTTGTTACGACTGTGAGCTGTTACGGTCTGGAATGCACTGCCTGAGAGGGTAGTGGGAGCAGATTCAATAATCATTTTCAAAAGGATATTTATTTGGAAAAGGAAAACAAAATTGCAGGGCTATAGGGAAAGTAATTGGTAGCTCTTTCAAAGCACAGGCACGATGGGCCGACTGGCCTCCTTCTGCGCTGAAGAATTTCATTATGCTTTGGTAGCAGCTTTTAGTGTCACAGTGCTATAGATTTGAAGTTGGGTTGCAGCTTATATCTTAATGAATCTTGAAGTTACTGGCATCTGATTCTTTCATTTCATTCAGGCACAAATACTGTGCATCTCATTATACACTGATGTGCATTCTAAATGCAAGACTGCAGTAAGCCCAGCAGCCACTCACTCAGCTGCTACTTGAAGTAAAACTGAAAATCCTTTGTGCACTTAGGAATAACCTTTCAAAAGCCACCAGACATAATATTTGTAATAAGAGGAATCCAATGTAAGTGCCTTGTAATGGTGTTAATATGCCATTTGTCATATTTCTTGGAACATATTTTGGTATACAAGAAATGCAGCCAAAGGTACTGTGATGGTTTTATCTTCTGCCCCCCCACCCCCATTCAATTTTCTGACTCGTGTTCCCCTTTCCCTCATGTGCTCCTCCAGTGGGGGTCATTGAATGGTTGTCTATCACATGCAGGAGCCCAGCCAATTGTTATTCCTCTCCTTCCTAGCCCAGGGGCAATCCAAACAATTATATCAATGCCATCTGAGAAAAGGAAACTC